CTACCAACTGAGCTATAGCCGGCTTGGACATTCAATGGATTCTGCCATGCCCTGAGACCCGACATTTTGCGGGGTCTCCGTTAGCTGCAAGCACGGCGCTTGTGGGGCAATTGGCGCTTTTGTTTTTGCTGTTTGCCTTGTCCGTTGAACAATCAGAACCCGCATCCTCATCCAACGTAGAGCAATCTGACTCTTCATCTTGCACCGTTCTAAAACGTCGCCTTACTGCTGGAGCGAAAGGGTTCCAGGCGTATGGCTTTCCCTTTCGGCCCTGGCGCCTCGGCCTTCGCTCCGGGCACTGCGTGGGCTTTGGCCTTAGCCTTATATTCGGCTGCTAGGACCGTGTCGACGTCACGCTTGTACGGGCAATTGTCTCGAGTACATGTCCTTTCCTGGTGCACTGATAGCACGGTCTCGTAGATGGATCAGTCGACGGGCTCGGTTGTCGTCACCATTGTCACGGAGAAGTGAAACTTGCACCTGATGTCCTGGTGCGTCTTCTTCTTGTCTGCTGACTCGGATCGTCCTCTTCCCTTCCCCTTTGGCCTAGTCTTCGCGTGAGCCTTGGCTTAACGTTTGGGAAGTACAGGCGCAGCGTCATGCTTGGACATCGTGTCCTTGTTCGGTCTTCCTTCCTTGGGAGCAGGAGCTGCTATGCCATCGCCTTTCTTTTTCGCAGGCGCCGCGAGAAAAAAACTTTCCCATCCAACATCTACTTCAGACCGACTTGAGTAGCGAGGGGGCTCGCTTGCTCAAGTTTGCACATGATGCATCGGTCGAAGCTGTTAAGGAGGTTCCCGTACGACCTGTTCGTGTCATCATCCGAGAGAATCGTAGTGTACCGTGAGTTCCAATGTCAATGATGGAGACTCAGTGCACGTATATTACGCTGTCTGAAAAGGTATAACATCTTCGGGACGCATCCTTGAAATGATTTCCAAGCAAGTTTGTTTGAACTTGTTGAGTTTCGCGTCACCGGGGTATCCGAGCTTGGTCGAGTAAGCATGTCCAGTCTGTCCCTGGTACCGAAAGTTTCAAACATCATCGCAATGATTTTCTCCCTTGGATGAGCTTGCCTGCTGTTGATTGCCTTTAGTTTGCCTTGTGATTCACATCAACATAAAGGTCAGCGGCTTTCACCTGTTGTCTTGAGCATGGCTGTCATGGTAGCAGCCAACTTCATGCCAATGCTCTTGAACTGGCTTTGACCTGACGAATTCAGTCCCTCGATATCAGGACTGGGTCTGAAAGCTGTAGAATGTAGCAAACAAGGCAATCCATTTCTCCTGACTCGTGTCTTCACACGCACTGAGCACATTCGCATTTGCTTGCGTCATCCAATCGTCAAGATACCTAACAATCAGACACGGTGGCACTACAATCTTATCTGCTTCCCTGCTCGATATCTTCACACTGGTGAACTTTGGAGCATCATCGTCACCTGGGTCATCAGGAGGTGGAGGTGGCTCACCGCGTCTTCTTCCTCTGTCAGCATCTCCTGCTGGATCTGGCGCTGATGGTCCATCACCTTCATCTCCACCAGCTTCTCTCCTCGGATGTCTGTCATCCAAGTTTGTGGTATCTGAAGGAGCAGTACTCCTATTATCGCCGACAATCTGCATTTGCTCTGCCATATGACGCATTCATCACAGTCATTGCGCAGCTGATCTTCCGTTGCCTTGGCTCTCTCCAACTCAAGGTTCAGATTGACCATCTGATCCACCACGGTTCAGCAGGTAGCTGTCCACGGCTGTGCCACAGAGAATCTTATCGCTGTGGTAATGGCGGCCCTTGCTCGACATGTGACGCATCGTTCCGCGAAGCGACAACAACCGTCTCCTACAGTAATAACTACACAACGTACGAGTAGTCAATTCAAGGGACCGCACTTCAGAATTTACTGGAAAAAGCGTGTGCCCTACTCTGATTTAGATATACTCCCGCCCCGCTTCGAACGTTCTTGTCGACGCAGGAAGCTCGATGCTTCCTCCGATTTCAACAATGAACACCGGTTGTTCAATGCAATCACGGCCGACTCTGCATGCTGGAAAGTTGAGCGAAGTTCAAGGTTTTTGCGTGCCCGCTCGTCGAGTTCGTTGATCATATTCTCACACTCCTTGGCCAGTAGCATTACTTCATCTCGACTGTTTCTCAAGTTCAATCGTGCTGCTTCTTGGCTAAGTCGATGCATCTGTTGAGCCATAACCTCTGTTTGTTCATGACTTCGTTGATACTGCTCTTGAGTCAGTTCCGACGCTTGCATCGTATGCCTGTCGTACTCCGTCTTGAAGATGTGGTGCACGGCACTGATGTCACTCATGCCTCTAAGAACATGATCCCGCTGCCGTTATCCTGATGGTTGCACTCTCGTCCTCTCGCTCCAAGACGGATATTTCGTGAGCACTGGCTGATCTTTGCAACATGAACTTCTTGTGCTCTTTCTTCCAAATTCATGACACGTTCCTCGACTATCGCTTGAAGTTGAACTTCAGGAGGTAAGGGATTCTGGATCGCTGAAACACCATCACGAGGTCTGCCTGTGAAGAAATGGACAGTTCCAGAAGCTCCGGCCTGAGGCATTGAGCAGGTTCTTGCATGATGCATTGAACCCTGCGCTTCAATCGCACTCTGTCGTTCATTGCAGGCTTCTCGAAACTCACGCACCTGTGACAAGACATCTGGTGAACTGCGTGGTTCGCATGCTCTCGATCTTCTTAATGGATTTTGCTGCTCCTTGTTGTTCCCACCAACCAACCCCACGTTCGCGAGCAAGACTGTTTGCTGCCTCGCTTGCAGAAATTATTGGTTGTTGTTCCGAATCACAGATCTTGGTGATCTACATTCCGACGTTCTGGCATTTCATGCGGCCTGTGTGGATGATCTCACCGATGATCTCGGTCTGCTGCCTTTCGTACTCGGAGGGTCGGCAGTCTTCCTGTTCTTCTCTTCCTCCGTTGTACGGTCATCGATTGACAGCGGTGCATCGTTTGTAGTCTGTGCTGTCATATTGTCTTGGTCGCAGATGAGATAGGATCCAGTAGGCAAAGCCTACGGCTGATAATCTGTGAAGGTTCTGTACCGAACATTAGCTCCCGTCACCGTGAGCTTTCGTATGTTGTCAGTGATGCTGAAGATAGTCTGGCTGAACCGTGTCCTCTCCCACGACGAAATCCCTCACTGTGCACTGCGCTCCAGCAACGTCTTCTTGCTCCGAGGTGAACTCGACGGTCCTGAAAGTCTTTGCAGTTCAGGAAAACCTCGACGCTGTTCGAGATAACACCGAATGAGTTGATGGGCTTCGAACTATTTCAGTGTGATAGCTCATTCTTGAGCCTGGGTTGCAGCGTAGCTGGGTATCCGGTAACATTCGGCCATCTGAGCTATTCAGCATCCCTATACAAGCTTGGTATCACATGGTAACATAGCTCATTGTAGGTGGTCATCCGACTGGGCAATGCTTCGATGTCCGTTCACAGCTACAGCTACTGCTACTCTTACTGCTATTGCTACTGCTGCTGCTGCTGCTGCTACTGCTATTCCTACTATGTCATACTCCTCGATCCTCAGATTCGGGGTTGCTCGGCCTTCCGATTGAAGACCCGGGCCTGTGTCACAGGTTCCGGGATTTAAAACGTGCTCTTTATGCAAAACACAATCTAAACCTTGCCCGTCGCAGAGTCACGACGAGGTCACGGCAGCTAAGGCCAGAGGCATGTCAACCTGCAAGTAGCGCATCTACGAGGGTTTTCTCTACGAGGGTTTTCGGATGCAATGTTAAACCATTTCACGGTGAAGTTAATTGGTAACACAGATGTAGTGGTCGGCTCAACAAAGCTGACAGACAGCATTAACTGTTAAGGTAATCTGCTTGAGAGATCTGTGCGAGCTACAAGGAGACGCAGCCCAGGTGCTCTTGCAAGGACAAAGTTTCATTCCAAATGTCCAACAAAAACGTGTTCAAACCTGCAGCCTTGCAATGTCTGCGATCGCAAGGGATTCACATATCACTCTGCTGCAGGTCATCCGGTACATGTGCTGCATGCTTTATTGTCACACAGAACAGATCGCCCTCCCTGGTCGCCTGCATCGCGGATTGCCACTTCCGCTCCAGCGGCTTCAAAAAGATTGGCTGCAGTGGTTCATGAATCATGCTGCTTATTGTTTCGCATTCCATCAGATGAAGGAAGATTTCGAACACTGACAATGTAGGAGCTTTCAAAAGACAATGTCCTGTAACCTAGCCTGGAACCTAAACATATCGTAGCTTGAACGGCAAGCCTGTCACTGTACTAAGTTATGCCTATCTGAGATCGCCCAGAATCACAATCAACATATCAGGATAATCAAGAACACAACTGACAAGTCGTTCATTCGAACCCCTGGTGCACGCACAGTAAAACTAAATGTGTTTGTGCGAAAATCCAGGTCCTCATCTCCCAACCCTGTGTGACAAGTGGGGACCTCGTAGTTACAGTAGTTACAATCCTATATATTCGATGGCAAAGACGACAAGCGCATAATCAGGAGAGTGAAGCCATGCATCGTGTGCTTCTTGCTCATGTTCGGAGCTAAACAATGGTAACGAGGGCCTTCAATGTTCTGGTCGGGTTTGGTCTGGGATCGCATACCAAAAATCCTGAATTACAAGAACCGAGCGATTGCAAGCCTCAAGTCGGACACAAATGAACATGTTCATGCTGTCGTAACTTTCTTAACGGGCCGGAACTGAGTGTACACTGTTGGCAACTTTTGCGAGTCCACGCGAGCTCCGTCTATCCAGTGATTTTTGTCTGCTTTTTTGGGACAGCTGCTGTTGCTAAATATATCGCAGGTCATGTGTTTGACTCCTCCCTAAACCCTAAACTGGCCCCAACCCCTAAATCCTAAACCCCAAGCCCGAAACCCCAAACCCTAAACCACAGTTGGGGCAAGCAACTGCTGCTTCAGCGCCGACCCTAAACGCGAAAGCCCTGAGTTCCATGATCTTCCCAGATGCTCCACTGCATAACCGCATCTTTAGATGCATACGCATCCTGCAATGATTTTGGCCACCTCACTGGTGCAAACGAATGCTTTGCCAAGAAATGACCTGCGTCAGCGATGTTTTCATTACTGCAAAATATCAGTGCACTAGACGGACATTGCGCCGCATACGTAAGTTCGACCGCATATGTGTGTTCGAGGACCCAGCACCAAAACTAAATAGCATACAAGCAAAGGGATGCCGGGTTTGTCGATGCCCATACCCAAAAAATCATGAAATGAACTCCAACCCATTAAACCTGAACCCACAAGAACTGTACAACTCTTGCACATCGACCCTCAGCTAAACACCAGTCTCGCCTCGTCCAGCAGCCTCAAGCCTTCCGTGCCGGAGACCCAGGCAGCCCACAGCACAGCGTAGCTGTGAGGACCTGCAGGATTGCGAGACTTTGGTCGACTTACTGCCGGTAGCCCTAACAGAAGAGCTAGGAACCAAGCATGCGTGCGAAAGATCGTGGATGCGCAGGTTCGACATGCAGCCCAAGCCAAAAACCACAGACTACAATGCAGATGTCATCGAGTATGGCTATCTTCAACCGGGTCGAAACAGAAGACAAGCTTGGAGCTTCGGGCTTGAAGAAGAATGGAGGCCTGTGCTCGCTCGTACTAAACAAGTTGCGGAAGGTCTCGCACACATCGAGAATAATCGAGAATCAACACAGCATGTCTGTTGGCCCAAGCGACAAAAATGAAAAGGGCTTTGGAACTGGACGGGTCTTCTCGTAGTTCGTCGTGTCTGTTCTGGTGGTGGGGGGCTTGGTGCTGATGGGTCGTTGGTGCTTCGCAGTTTACACTTTCGGGTCTTGGTTCAGATTCTAAGTGCAGCTCCTGGCCTTGTATGGTCGGTAATTCGTTCGGGTCAGCCTGCGGTTTCCTTAGCAGGGTATGGAATCCTGCAGAGACTTACTGTTCGGGTGCTTTTGGCTCGCTCTCGCTGGCTACTCAGATAACACCAACACCAACACCAACACTGGTACTAACACTAACAACAATGCAACAGTAACAACAAATCCAAAGCGAAAGAACAATAACCATACCAAACATGGCAAACAGAACAAACATAACAGCCCAAACAACCACTGCAACAGCAACAGCAACAACGACAGGTGTCTCTGTTTTTCGGCTTTTATCAGCTTCGAAATTGCATTTCGCGTGGCCTGCGTGGGACAAAAGCACCGCTTGATAAGCATGTGTTGTCGTTATCATGGTTGTGCCATGGATAGCGGGATCCGGTATGAGTCGAGGTTTTCATGGTCGGGCCATGGATGCTCCGGTCAGAGGATGCTGCGGAGTGGACGATATCATGGTTGGGCCAGGGAGGTTCCGGTCAGAGGAAAAGCGATGATAACCAGGGAGCTCTGCCAGTTTGCGAGGAGCTGCTCACCAACAAACCTGGTCAACGCCGACCTACGAGGACACAAGGATGCCGAGGAGGCTGCAGTGCTTTGGTTCAGGGCAGAGCGACGGCTCCATCCCTCGAGGGTAGCCAGAAGCAGCGCGAGAGAGGGAGTGGACTCCACTTGTTTGTACATTAGGTGGGTTCTTTCAGCCAAAAGATTCCCTCGGTCAAGTCTGCAAAGGATCTTGCGCCTAGTGCAGATGACCGCTTAGTTTTTCTCTGCTCAAGACTTAGATCCGATTTGCAGACAAAGTACTAGCGCTGGATGTTTGTGCAGTTCCAAATTTACCTCTTATAAGGAGAAGTCTAAGCCGGTTCAAACCACAACTTCCGAGATAGATGATACCAAACCCGTAAGCCTGCCACATGTGCGTGCCTTCCATAACATGAGGCGGGCCGCGGCGCAGAAATTCCTGGCCTTTGTCACATGGAAGAGGCTTGAGGATGTCCAGAAACTTGTTCGACATATGTTAAACCAACGGCCTGAACTGTAGCACTTGTCGGGCTCTGGCTCATAGTCTGCATCCAAGTGTCTTGTGAAGCTCAGCAAGGGCCTGTGCAACATACGGCCATGTGTATCATTTATGATTCGATATCACGAGTCTCAAACTGTGAACTTTATGCGGTAGCCCAGTGTGAATACATCTTGTACCGATATTGCCTGCTGAGAGCTCGACAGCATCGATAACAGGCGCGGGCGAGGGGTGCACGGCCGGATGCAGGCGCGCAGTACAAGCAAACGGGCGCGTGCACAGCGTGCAGACGCTAGGGGCGGGCGTGTGCCGCGGCGACACACCGACATTGCATAAATACTCATCGTTCACTCTACGCACAAAACACGCTCGGTCCCTCGATCGCCCGCCTGCTGTCGTGCTCTCGGTCCTTCCCTCTCTCCATGTCCCTGACTCTTTCTATCCCTGCATTTGTCCCGCTATCTCTGTCTACATCTCGGTTGCATGTACAAGGCCTCAAACTGCAAGCTGACTTGGCATTTACTCCTGCAGGCCGCATTGGCGCACGTGCCATTGTACACATAGCCAAAGTTTCTCACACGCTTGCTCAAACCATACACACTTAACTACACACGCACACACACTCACTCACTCGAAAAAAATTGGAGCCGACCACAGTGGGCTAACAGATTAAGGTACTGATGATGATGGACACGAAAACTAATGAAACTCTTGGTCTAAAGGTACAGTATGCCAAACATCAGGTATTGCATGACGGCATATGTGTACATCAAGGTAAGAATGATCTGTGTGGGTGCGGGTCCTGCCCTCGCTGTGCGAAACACCAAGGAATCGCACAACACGAACATGAGATGAAAGATGCACTAATGATGAAGTCTCCACTCCTGACCTGCCAGCTAGCACGACGACCCCCAAGTGCTGTGAGTGTGTCTGCGTGCACACAAAAGGTACGTTACAAGGGCTCCTTGGGGGGGGGCTCTTCATTGACCGCCTCCCCTCAGCGATCCCGTGCGTTTTGGGTGCGACCCCATTCCTTCATGAGCCACAATGTAAAAATTCACAGTAGGACGAACCACACACACACACACACACACAGGGGCTGAGGGATCAATAAAACATCAAACAAGCATCAAAAGTCTAGGATCAAAACAAATCAAATTAGGCATCACAAAAATCAAAATATCATATTTCCTGGAATGTATACTCAAGTGTGCCTATTTTCGGGTCAAACATCATCAAAGAGGGATCAGAAGAATCAAAGACGGAAGCGCGGTGTCAGAAGCAAACTTCTTGAACTTGAGTTCGGAGTAGTACTGGCAGTAGCACTGTGAGTCATCCAGCGGCGCTTCCGGACCCCTGTGCCTAAGCACACCCCCTCAATTGGCGATTCCGGTTCATCACAATATAATCGTAAACACGCCCCCTCGTTTGGCGATTCCGGTTCATCATACTTCTGGAACAAGCCCCCTAATTTGGCGAGTCCCGTTCATCATATATGGCGAGGGTTCATCACATATCGTAAACACGCGCCCTCATTTCATATTCCTTGCACATGCCCCCTCGCTTGGCGATTCCGGTTCATCATATATCTTAAACACGCCCCCTCATTTGTCGAGCCCGGCTCATCATATATCTTAAAACACGCCCCCTTGTTTGGCGACTCCGGTTCACATCACCCCCCCTCATTTAGCGGTTCCGGTTCATCATGTGTCTTAGCTGTCTTGGCTTAAACACACTTGTGCTCTTGGTGATTCCGTTCATCTTTATTCCCGGTCATCATATACTTTAAGCACCCCCCTCATTTTGCGATCCGGTTCATCCATCCTATATCTTAAAATCAAAATGTCTTGAACATGCCGCTCCTTCCTCCCTTGCTTCTTTTCTTTCAGAGCGAAAGACCAGTTTGTGAGTATTAACAACATTTCACAATTTGTTTTGTTCCGATCCCTAGTTGGTTTTTGTTAGGCCCTGTTTGGGTTTTTGATGCCTATCCTCACACACATGGCCGCGCCGAAGCGTGGCGCCAACCACCCGCAATCGCCAACCACGCGATTTCAACAAGTTTAGCACTTTATTGCGCGAAACCTTTACCGCATTACCGGACTAGTGGCGCACATTAGCACTGTACCATGGCAGGTGCACACGCAGTCCTGAACACCACACTCCTGAGCTCAAGTCAGAATAAGCAGTCATCGAATGTTCGAGACAGAATAGCGTTGTAAAGGCGCTCACGGACCACTTTAAAATTACCAGAAACTCTTGTGCACCCCCCACACCCCCCCACCCCCCCACCCCAGAAATCCCCCCTCTGTGGAAGGATCCGGGGACAGACAGACAGACAGACAAACGCACAGAGACACACGCAGGCACACGCACGCACGTATACTCGCGTACAAGACACAGACAGAGACATACACACAGATGCACGCACACACATGCGCACACACACACACACATGCACGCGCAAGCACGCACACGCAGAGACACACACACACACACGCAGACATACACACACACACACAGAGACACACAGAGACACACGATACGAAAAAACAACTCACTACACAAGCAAACAAACAAACAACCAAACAAGCAAACATATCAAACAAACAAGCAATCAGTCAAACAAACAAACAAACAGGCAAGCAAACACACACACACACACAAAAAACAAAAACAAGCAAACAAGCAAGCACGCAAGCAAGCAAACACACAAACATACAAACATATAAACATACCAAACAAAGAAATGAAATACACAAACAAAGAACCCAACAAACACACTAACAAACAAGCAACACACAGACACTAACAAACAAAAAACAAGCAAGCAAGCAAACAAGAAAGCAGGCAAGCACGCATGCAACAACACAGACAAACAAACAAACAAACAAACCAACAAACAAACAAACATACGTACATACATACATACAAGCAAAAAAACACACAATACACACAAACAAACATACGTACAAACAAACAAGCAAGCAAGCACGCAAAGAAAGAAACACGCAAACAAGCTAACACGCAAGCAAGGAAGCAAGGAAGCAAGGAAGCAAGCAAGGAAGCAAGCAAGCACGCAAGCAAGCAAGCAAGCACGCAAGCAAGCAAGCAAGCAAGAAAGCAAGCACGCAAGCGAGCATGCAAGCGAGCACGCAAGCGAGCACGCAAGCGAGTGCGCAAGCGAGCATGCAAGCGAGCACACAAGCACGCAAGCAAGCACGCAAGCAAGCAAGCAAGCAAGCAAGCAAGGAAGCAAGGAAGCAAGGAAGCAAGGAAGCAAGGAAGCAAGGAAGCAAGGAAGCAAGGAAGCAAGGAAGCAAGGAAGCAAGGAAGCAA